CTCCCATGAACCCCATCCATAGCGAGGAGAGAAATGCCCGGTCCAGCTCCCTGTCTAGGCCTGTGGGGCAGGAGGGCCAGAAACTGGGCACTGAGGGGCCGTGCAGTGGCCATGGGCACATTGCCTGAGAGGTGGGGCTGCTCTGGGAAACGTCACTCCAGGCCCTTGAGCCCCTGCAGAGCCTTGGCAGGGAGGCCAACCCTGGGCCAGTTCCTTACCGCTCCGGGAGTCCAGTGGCCCTACTGGCTGGGGCAGTGTGGCTGCTGGAACGGGGCCCCTGTGACAGCCTGGGCTCAGCCCCAACCTGCCCTCGGCCTGCCCAGCCAGGCCCAGATCAGGCAAGGCAAGGATAACCCAAGGACTCACCCACCACCTTCCCTTCCTCGCCTGACTCCAGGCCTGGACACAGACACCCTCACTGCACCAGAAAATACGCGTCCTGAGAAGCAGCTGGAACTATTCCTGCTCACTAGGCATTGTTCTCAGCCCTCACTCATGCAGCAGATTGGGAAACTGAGGCCTGGTCTCAAGCCAGGTGATTATCAAAGCAGCCTGACCGTGTTGTAGGCCAGCCCACACCCTTGTGCTCTGAGGTTCAGGAAGACACTGCCCCAAGGGTTCTTTCAGGACCAACCTGACAGCTGGGGGAAACGGGATGGCCACACAGCCCAGCCCTCTCCCAGGAGGTTCTGTCCCATGGTCCCCTGGCCACCAGCAGGGCTTTCTGCAGGCCATGACTGCCCTCTGTGCACTAGGACCTCTGGGTACTGTGGTCTCCACCGGGGGGCAGTGCAGCCCTACTCACCAGCAGTGCGCCCAGCCCTGGTGCAGAGCCTCCTGCCACAGCCTGAGCTGTCATGGCCTCCCTGTGATGGCACCGCCCAGCAAGTGTGAGTGCATGGTGTCAGGTCTGTGGGAGCCATTCCTACTGGCCTGGCTTCTCCTTGGGCCCTGAGTCACAACATTGCCCAAAGACTTCACACTCAGCATGACGACTTCCACTCACCAGACCCTGCTCAGCACCTGGTGCCCTTCTGCAGCCCACGCCCTGCAGCTCTCTCGCACACCCTGGGCTCCCTGTGGCCCTGACCACTGTCTGGACACTGTACACAGTGCTGACCAGGAACCAGGGGGAGGGCAGCAGATAGGCCCCAGCTCAGCCTGCACAGAGTAGGCCTGTGGCTCCAACATTCCAGCCACATCAAGAAGTGAAAATGTGGGCGTGGTGGCACACACCTGTAATCAGCTCTCCGGAGGCTGAGGCAGGAGAATTAAAGTTCAAACCCAGCCCAGACAATTTAGTGACTTAGACTGTATCTCAAGGGGGATGGGGGCTGCTGCTCAGTGTGAAGACGCTGGGTTCATTCCCCAGAACTGCCCAGAGTAAAGATGACACAGGACTGAAGCGACCGCAGCAGTGACCTGGAGTGACGAGTGGCCTTAGCAGAGCTGGACAAAGCACCCCCTTCCTAGAGCTGTGTGGGCCCAGGGAGGCCAGAAGCCAAGGGGACAGAGGCTCCTGAGACAGCAGAGTTACGCAGCCTCACACCAGGACAAGTGGCTCCCACCTGTCCATGGGCTCCGTGGAGTAGGAGAGGCTGAGGGCCAGGTGTGGCTCAAGGGCTCCGTGGCACAGGATACTGCCTTGGCCTCCTACACAGTCTTGAGGGCAGGAGGTCAGGGAGGGCAGCCTCATTCGTCAGTAGCTGAACACTTGGCCCTGTGGTCAAATGCGCAGATGCACCCACTTCTCGGTGCAGTTTCTCCATGGGTCTGTGCCCTGGACCTGTGTGCGTGGCCTCACCCAGGATGGGCCGCCTGCAGCTGGCCGCCCTTGAGTCCTGCCATGCACGGCCCTGCAGCCTTCCCTTCCTTGACAATGAGTGATTCTCCCCTGAGCAGAGCCTGTCTTTTCCCCTTGTGCTGCGACCCTTGCCCAGGCCGCTGGGGCTGTGGGTACGGAACCCTCTTGCAGAGCTGTCCCCACTGGTCGACTAGAAGCAAGACAGCTGCATCTCAGTGCCCAAGTTTTGCCTTTCTGAGGAACTGCCGGCCCTCTCCACACCACCATGCCCGTTACCTGGATTTTCAGAGCCTCCACCCCTCTGCATGTGAGCCCCTAGTGATGTCACAGATGTTACCCCCCACCTGGATTCTTGCCACTACCCTCGCCCACAGGTGCTGCCCATGGGTGCCATCATGCTCAGTCTTTTGGCACCCATGCCCCAGAGAGCTGCCCCAGGCCCCAGGTGCTCTGTCACTCACTTTCCAGCAGTGTTTTTGGAAAAGACTGGAAAGTAGTGAATCTTTCCCTGTGTTGACCTTGTCCGGCCATGGCCCTGGATTTGTCAGTTTGGCCTCAGTGTCTCTCCTGCAGGCCCAGGTCATCCTACCTGGTAGGAGAGAATCCAGACCCACAGCACAGGCTGTCAGGGGCTCAGGGCTGGTGGAGACCCCAGGATGTGGGGGTGGCAGCGTCCCACAGGCACTGTGGTGTCCTCAGTGGGTGCAGGAGAGGTGCACAGGATGAAGAAGCCATGGGGTGCTGAGGTGCCTGAGTGTCCTCTGATGTAGCACAGTATGTCTCTCTGCCCAGTGTCCATGCTGTAGGGCCCTATGGCCACCACGTCCCATGCCAGGCCTTGGGCCAGGAGGGCCCTCTCCAGGACCCCTGCAGCAGCCTCGAGAAGTGCTGCTCAGAAGACTGCAGGAAGGGTATGGGCACCTTCTGGGAGCCAGGCAGCTCCTTCTGTGTGGACCCCCCACACACCTGCTGCCACCACAGGAGCAGATACCCTCAGAGGAAGTCTGAGGTGCGGCAGCCAGGGACAGCTACTTCCTGCAGGAGTGAGGAGGTTGCCTGGCACCCCCATTGCTCAACTCCCAACTGCAGGGCCCTGCTTGGTGCATCAGCAAGACCCAAGCTCCCTGAGGAGGAGACTGGACGGACACCCCAGAAGCTCAAGGGGCGTGGTGCCATAGTCAGCTCCATAAGAGTGGTGGAGGGAGTGTATCATGGACAAAAACTCACTTCTGGGTGAGGGTGGAGCCCAGCACACATGTTCTTCACCACGCTTTCACACTTGGTTTGTTTTCGGTCAGGGCAGGACCCAGCACCTTCCAGGTCCAGGGCTTTGGCTTGTTCATCAGGGGAGCTCTGAATGGTGTCCTGGGGGCTGGGTGCAGGACACACAGCTTGGCCCTAGGGCAAAGAAGGGTGTCCCCCTGCCCACACCACTGTTGTCCCCAGCCAGGGCACAGTATGGCCTTCCCCGTCCTGAGGTTGCTTTGGCAGCCACAGAAAGAGGACAAGTCCCTCGCGTCCATCGTCTGCGACTTGGACCCCCAGCCTGGGTCTCACTGTATTGGGTGTGGGTCTTCCCTGGCTGCCCACATCCCTCCCGCACACCTGTCCTCAGCCGGGTGCCAGCAGCAGCACCATGTGCCCTGCCCTGGTGCACAGGGCCTGTTATGCAGAGTCCCTGGCCTCCCTGCACCTGAGGACCTGGAGGCTGGGGTAAGAGGCGGCAGCCCCCAGGTGACCAGGGCCACTGTGGGAGGGAGCTGTACACAGCAGTGAATCCCAGGGTCACAGCACATGTCCAGGCGAGACCCTTCTGTGCCCCTCATGCTGCACTGAGGTCTGAATGCCCGGCCCCAGAGCTGCCATGTGGCCTCAGCTTTGAGAAAATGCTGTGGCTGCTGAACCTCACTGGCCATGTGGGACTGGTCCTGCAGCGCCCCCAGCATCTGGTCCACTGCAGAGTGGTGTCCATTACTGCCAGTGCCTGAGCATCCTCCCTCCCCATCCTGCTGAGAAGCCTGCACTGTGGGTGGGGCATGGCCACTGGCACCCAGACCTACCCACACCAGCGCTTTCCAGTTCGTGGACAAAGAGGAGAAAAGTCCCTTCTCCAAGGTGCCCCGTGGCCTCTCCCATGATGTCCATGGAGTTGGTGGATGCTGACCAGCACAGCCCTCAGGAAGGGGTGGGTGGGAGGAGTGAGGACCACAGTCCCAGGAAAGGGACTCAAGTCCCCCAGGTGGATTTGGCTGTTTGGTGGAACACTGAGGGTCCCATAGCAGGAGGCCAGGAGAGGGAGCACCCTGGGCTCTGCTCAGGTCAGGGCAGCCTGTGGTCCCTGCCAACCCTGGTCTGCATCTCCCGGCCCTCTTCCCTGGCCCTGGGCCCTCATGTCCACAGTGCACAGTTTGAAAGGACTGTCATGATCAGGGAACCACGGCTCTTACCAGACAGCATGGGCTGGGGACCGGCGAACAAGGGCAGCAAGGGTGCGGGCAGCAAGGGTGCAGGCACCAGAGGTAGAGCAGGGCTGCGCTGGTCTGAAGTCTTGGGTCCTGGGACCTCAGGGATGTCTTGGTGACTCACAGGAGGAAGGCCCTGTCCAGACCCCAGGGCTGTGGCCATCTCCTGCCTGGGTGAAGCTTGTGGTGCAAGCTGAGTGTGACCCACCGCACAAGGTCTTCTCCTGTCTTTCCCCTGACCCAGATTCCCAGGTTTTGGGGTTGCACCTCCCACCCCCAGGTCTGTGAGCCCCACAGTTTCCTCTCCCCTCTGCTCCCTCCCTCAGCAGCCACAGTGCTGCACAGCCTGGGGAACCTGAGAGCCTCCACAGCAGTGTTCCTCACTGTCTCTCACAATCATCTGCTCTTTGTTGCATGTGTGACTTGGGAAGCCAGGCGCGTGCTGCAGCAGGTGCCGGTGTCAGGCTGGGTGGCCTCCTCATTCAGAAGTGCAGTGCCAGAGCAGCCTGCACCTGGTCCCAACTCCTCTGGGGTCAGCAGCTGGAGTGCCTGGGTCTGGCTGGGAGCTGTACTACGCATGGAGCAGTGTGACCATGCACGCTGTCCCCAGTGTGGCACCATTACTAGCCCACACGGGAGGGCACTGAGCAGGGCATGCAAGTGGCATCCAACAGCACACCAGGAGGGAGCCACACCTATGGAGCCACCCCTGAGGCCCCCCATCCTCCCTGCAGGGACAGTGGCACAGCGATGTATTCAGTGGTCTTGGCAGCTTGGCCCACTACTCAGGGGTCACCTACTGTGGGCTGTGGATCAACGGCCACCCAACAGGTAGGGCTCCCTGCCCCATGCCGGCCTTCCTGTCCCTCCCAGGACCCTGAGCAGCCATGCAGCAGGGGTTGGAGCACGAGCATGTTGGGTAGGGGCTGAGACAGAGTGGAGCCAGATGTCCTGTCCCCTCCAGGAAAGGCAGGTTCTTCTGGGATTTCAGGGGTCTCGTGGACTTGCAGAGCCCCAAGACTGACCTTGGGCCCAGGTGATCCTTCAGCAGGCCCAACCTCCCATCCACCCGCAGCCATGGGACTTCCCCACACAGAGGGACCGCCTCTCAGCCAGGTCCCAGAGGCCAGGTGTCTGCAGTGCTGACCTGGTCCCAAGCAGTTCATCCAGGCCCCCAGTGAGCTCTATACCCTGACATGACCACAGTGGGGCTTGCTGCAGGCCCTGGGCCACCCCTGCTCCCTGGTGCTTCTGGGTGCCTTCCTCTGCACCCCACATGCCCAAAGATCATGTGTGGTATCTTCCCTGTCCCCTGCCACTAACACTTGCCCTGCCTTCCCAGCACCAGCCACGAAGATTTTGATTCTGGGTCCGGAGGTGCTGCGGGTGGCCCGAGGCTGTGCCTTCACTTTGCATGTGCAACTGCTGCGGGACAACGGGGAGACGGCAGATTGTGAGTGTCCTAGGGGACCCTGGGTTCCCAGAGGCCAGCAGGCAGGGGCTCCTGGGCAGCAGAGGCCCAGACAGTGCACCTCGGTGGCTCCCAGTGCCCAGGGACTCGGTACAGAAGGCCCTGGTGCCCTGAGGCTGGTGGAAGGCACAGGAGGCACCGGAGCCCTCCGGCTGGTGAAGGCAGCATGTGTGTACATACTTGTGTGTGTGTGTGCACACGTGTACATGTGTGCATTCTAGCAGTTCAGGCACACATCTCAGAGCAGATGGAAAGGACACTGTCAGCTCGGCTGCGGAGGGCAGTCCCATCTCCTCACTGGGGGAGACCCGCCACGGTGCTGGGGAACCCACTGTGTCCAAACCCTCCCACCTCATGTGTGATTCCCAACACAGAAATTCACCTTGGCCCAACCTGCTTCGACTGGGGAGCCACAGCGTATAGCACAGATCAAATATATTTAGTCACAACTGGTTTAACAACTTTATTGAGACATCATTTACATACCGTGAAATTAATCTGTATTAAGTGATTCCATGGCCTTTAATAGCTAAGGATTCAGACAGCCGCCAGCACACCACAATCCCCTTTCCACACACTCCTGCTGCCAAGGGCCCAGCCCTGACCCAGCGCCACTCGCCTGTCGTCCATCTGTCTGTCTGTGGATTTGCTTTTCAGCATTGCTCACAACGGTGAGATCTTTTCCCCTCTCTTCCCAGGGCCTTTGTGCTGAGCTGCATCCCCAGCCCTTGTTTATTTTGAGACAGTGTCTCTCCAAGTCACTCAGTTGCCCAGGGTGGGCTCAAACTTTTGATCCTTTTCCTCAGCCTTCCAGAGAGCTGGGATGACAGGTGTGCACCAGTGTGACAGCTCCCTTCTCTCACTTGCATGATTTCTGGGAGCTCACGTGTTGCAGTGCGCATGGCACCCCCGTCACTGAGCAGTAGTGTCCCACCCTGTTGAAGCCACATTCTGCTTGTGCTTCACTGGCCAGTGGACGCTTGAGCTCCTATCCTCTGGGCTATTACAAACCGTGCAGCCACGTGTTTGTGTAAACAAGTGTTTTCACTTCTGGGTACATGTCTGCAGCGGGATTGCCAGCCGGGCTCAGACTGTTCTGTTTTCTAGAATGGGCCCTTTCTCAGTCCTGTCACAGTGTGTGGGCTTCCATACTCCCTGCCTTCACATGCACTTGATTTTCGCGCTTTGGTGGCAGCCACCTCATGGGTGTGAAGTGGGATCTCCTTGTGGCTTGCATTTGCATTTCTCTAATAAGAAATGATACTGAACATCTTTCATGTGCTTATTGGCCATTCGCAGATCTTTGGAAAAATTTTTGTTTACTCATTTTTAAAATGGGGCTGTTTGCATTCTTATTCTTGAATCATAAGAGCTTTTTGTGTGTTCTGGCTACAAGTCCTCAGTCTAACATATCTTTGCAAATGTATATATTCTTGCAGTCTATAGCACATGACTTATATTTTCGTTTTCACTCTTTAAGTCAGGGTCTCTATCTGGACTAAATTGGCCTAAAACTCCCAGGCCCCCTGTCTCAGTCTCCTGAATGCTGACATTTATAGGCATGCACTACCATGTCTGGTTTATGTTTTCATTTTTTTAATGTCTTATCCACAGTATAAGTTTTATTTTATTGTATTGATTGATTGATTGGTGCTAGAAATGGAACCCAGGACCTCATGCGTGCTAAGCAAATGCTGTACCACTGAGCTACAACCCCAGCCCTTTTATCTAGAGACAGGATCTTGTCAAGTTGCCCCTCTGGCATCCAACTCATGACCATCCAACCGCCATGTCCCAAGTAGCTGGGATTGCAGGCATACCACCATCCCTCCCGCAACTTATGAATTTTGATAAATTCCAACCTGCCAACTTTTCCTTTTATAGATCTCAGCTTGATCCTGTACCTAAGACTTTCCTGCCTAACCACAGTTCACAAAGATATTGTCCTGGGTTTTTTGGTAGAATGTTTATAGTTCTAGATCTTGTGCTCAGGTCTGTGATCTACTTTAGCTAATTTTTGTGGATAAGATCAAGACCTGAGCTCACCTTCCAGTGCCTTGCTGGAAAGGCTTCTTTCCTCCTCCTCTGCCTGGGCACCGTGCTCAGCCAGCTCACCCAAGGGGAAGGGTCCTGCCTGGGCTCTTGGTCCCAACCTCACACCCTAGACTCAGGTCCACGCCAGTCCTGTACTGTCTTCATCATTACACCCTTGAGCAGGCTTTGCAATGAGAGATTCCTGTTCTGAGAGAACCATGTTCTTTTCAAAATCGCATTGGCTGTGCTGAGACCTTCACATTTTCATCCGAACCGTAGGCTCTGCTTGTCCATTTGTGCTCCCACAGTCAGAAAGCCTGCTGGGGTTTGAGCGGGGTCCCATGTGGGCCCTGGGGAGGTCACCATCTGAGTGACAGTGGGTGTCCCAGATCACGACACGAAGCTTCTCTCCACTCCTGCAGAGCTCTGCTCTCCCTCACTGGTGTTTGTTATTTTCCATGCAAAGTCTTGCAATGCTTCTGTTAAGTCTACTAACAGATCATCAGTGATTCATTATGTATTATTAGGCACCTAGTTTATTAGGCACAATTAGTTTATTAAAATAACTGGTGAATTTATTTGTTATATTCTTTTTGTGCTTCTGGGAGTGCATAAGTTCATTTGAAAATTGCTGGGCTACAATTACTTTTTATATATTGATCTTATGTCCTTTGATTTAGCTGAATTCATTTATTAGTGCTGCCAGTCTTTCTGAGGATTCTTGGGACTTTTTATATACATAGGGTCACACTGTATTCAGATAAATACAGCTTTACCTCTTCCCTTTGAATCTGAATATGTTCTCTTTCTTTCTGTCAGTTGCTTTAGCACATTCCCTGCAGCAGGTGCTGATTGCTGCCTCTTCGCTGGCACTTATTATCTGTCTTTTCACTGTGGCCACCCATGTGGGTGTGGAGTGGCACCTTGTTGTGGTTTTGATTTGCATTTGCCTTAAAGTTAATGATACTGGGCATCTTTTCTTGTCCTCATTTGCCATCGGTGTATCTGCCATGGAGAAGTATCTATTCAGATCTCCTGCCCATCTCAAAACTTGGATTAATATTTTTATTATGAACCATCAAGTGTTCTTTATATATTCTAGAGTTGAGTCTCTTATCAGATATCTGATTTGCAAATTTTTTCCCATTTTGTGAACTATCTTGGTGGTATCCTTTGAAATACAAAAGACCATTTTTCTGAAATCCAGTTTATCAAAAGCCTAAAAACACTAAAATGAAAGGAATTTTGGTCTCATATCTAAGACAACTTGGCTTAAACAGGTCATGAAGATTTATCCCTGTGTTTTCTTTTAAGAATTCTATCATTTTCACTCTTACATTGAAACCCATGGCCCACTTGGAGGTGGCCTTCTGTGCTTTGTAAGGAGAGGGTCTGGCTGGCTCAACACCATTTGTTAAAAAGATTCTTCTTCACACAGTGGATTGTGTTGGCACTTGATTTGCTAAAATTTTATTTAGAATTCTTTTCATCTGTTCATAAGAAACACTGGTCTCAGGTTTTCTTACAGCTCTTCGCCTGGTTTCTATATCCAGGTAATGCTAACCTCAGAGAATGAGTTGGGGGTGATTCCCTCATCTGCAGTTTTCTGGGAGAGTCTATGATAAGTAGTATTATTTCCTTCTGAAGTGTTTGATAGATTCAATGCAAAACTCATCTGGGCATAAAGTTTTCTTCGTGGGAAGATTTCTAACTATGAATCAATTTCCTTAGTGAGTGTAGGCCTATGCAGGCTGTTTCCCCTTGAGTGAACCTTAGTTCAAATGTGTGTTATCCGAAGTCTATAATGTTTGTGTTATTTGTGTTTTCTCTCCCTTTTCCCTGACTAATATAGCTAAGGGTTATCAAAAAGCATCTTTTTTTATACCGGGGATCGAACACAGCACCTTGTGCTTGTGAGGCAGGCAGTGGAACCACTGAGCTAAATCCCTGGCAGGATTATCAAAATTATTGATAAGCACCCGGCTTTTAGTTTAATCAATTTCTGCTTTCTTGTTTTTCTCTTTTCATTTCTATTTTGATCTTACTGTCTCCTTGCTTCTGCTTTCTTTAGATTTAGTTTGCTCTCTTTTTCGAGTTTCTTAAGGTATAAGCTGAAGTTATTCATTTCACACCTTTCTTTTGTAATATAGGCATTTACTGCTATGGTTTCTTTTCCCCCTCTGTACCAATTTCATGGTGTTCTGCATGTTTTCTTATGTTGTATCTTCATTTTCATTCAATTAAAAGTATTTCCTTATTTCCTCCTTTGATTTTATTTACCCATGAGTTATTTAGAAGTTATGAGTTATTTGTTTCATTTCCAAATTTTTGAGGACTTCCAAGAGTTCACTCTGTTACTAATTCTAATTTAATTCCATGCTGTTAGTCATACTCTGTATGTATTAAGTTCTCTTAAATTCATCGAGACTTGCTTTATGGGTCAGAACATAGTCTGTTTTGGATGCTCAATATGCACTTAAGAAGAATGTGAATTCTGTTGACGTGTGGAATTTCTGTCAATGCCAGTGAGGTCGGCCTTTGCTCTTATAGGTTGAGCATGCCTAATCCAAAATTCTGAAACTCAAAATCTAAAACTTTTTTTTGAAAGTGAAAGGGATTGAATGGTAGTTTACTTTTTTTTTTCTTTTTAGTAACCCATTCTCCCCCTCAAGCCCCTCCCCTCCCTATGTACAGAAGCTTTTGTTTCCATTTTTTCCTTCTATTTTCACTTTTTTCTTGTCCCTTCCTTCCTTTCTCCCTCTTCCCTCCCTTGTTCCCCTTCCCATTTGAACACTTTCTTCCCATTTCCCAACATCCATTATATATCTCAGTCCTCAATTCCACTCAGTTTCTCACACCAGAGAAACAATGCGGTATTTAAACGTGTATTCAATTTATTTCACTCAAGAGTATGGTCTCAAGGTGCATCCATTTAGCTATAAATGTCT